ACCATCAATGTATGCAGCACTTTACATATATATATTGTACATTCACATCAGTCCCTAACCCTCAAGGGGCGTACAATCTAAGGTCCCTAAATCACATTCATACATACACATATGAGGACAATTTGGACAGGATACAATTAACCTACCAGCATGTCTTTGGAGTGTGGGAGGAAACCGGAGTACCCGGAGGAAACCCATGCAGGCACAGGGAGAACATGCAAACTCCAGGCAGGTGGTGCCGTGGTTGGGATTCAAACCAATGAGCCGAGTACTGCCAGACGGAAGTGCTAACCATTTAGCCACTGTGCTGCCCCACATCTTCAACCTAGTGTCAAAATATCACACAAACTATTCACTCGGCTCCTCCCAAGACCTCTTGCTCTCTAGCTACCTCCTCCTATACTCACCTACAGTTTTCCCCAGAGCCTCTCCCATCCATTTGTAGATTTAATGATGTCTTACAATACAGAATTAAATATTTGCAAAACATAGGTACACTCTCTCCTTACAAAATTCTATTGCATCTCTTTTTTTGGCTACAGGCAATTTATAGCCGAATATTGTTGTTTTTTTAGCATTGTGTTTTATATATTTAGAATGCGATTCCTGAAATGGTACACCAGATGGAACTTTTTTTATTGGCAGATTTTTATTTGCGCTTCAGCCCTCAGATGTGTGGAATTTAGTAGTAAAAATATGATTTTACGAAAAGTTGGACTTTGCCCACTCATAACTAAAATAGTGAAATTTTTTTGCACAAATATCATTTGTTCAGCAGTTTAGTACGTTGTACATTATGCACCTGTAGCCTCATCTGTCTTAAGAATATGCAAGATGGGAAGTTCCTTAACTTCCTTACTATATGCTCATTTATGCCTTTGAATGTTAACCACATAAGACCCTTATTTGTCATTTTAAGGTCCCCCTATATTGTAAAGCGCTGCACAAATTGTTGGCGCTATATAAATCCTGTATAATAATAATAATCCTCTGGAACTCCCTACCCTAATCTATCCAACTAAAAAACAAAATGATGGTGCAGCGCTAAAACAATAAAAATAAAAACAAAATGCACAAAATTATAGGCAAATGAAATACACGAATGAAATAAAAGTGGTTATAAGTGCGTTATGGTCTGACAAATGTATGAAGAAATAAAATCACAAATGTCTATAATAAACGCATAACCATAAAATGCATTAGGATCATAAAAGCCATTAAAATCTTAGAAACAGATCTCCAGCTGATTCAGTAAAATCCCAGTGTGCATATACTCCTTGGGTGGGTGTGCCGATAGATATATAATGCACACTCACCAGATGTGCTAATAAAATTGTATCATGCTATGTCGATCAGTCACAGGTCCCTTAGGGGTAGTCTGGGATGTACCCTGGGGGTGGATGGCCTTCCTTAGGTAACAGGATTATAATAGCCAATATACCGTATTTTGTGCTCCATAAGACGCACCTAGGTTTTAGAAAACAAGAAAAAAAAATATTCTGAACCAATGGACTGCGGGCACAGCACAGGGGATGACCAAGAGACTGCGGGCACAGCACAGGGGATGACCAAGAGACTGCGGACACAGCACAGGGGATGACCAAGAGACTGCGGACACAGCACAGGGGATGACCAAGAGACTGCGGACACAGCACAGGGGATGACCAAGAGACTGCGGACACAGCACAGGGGATGACCAAGAGACTGCGGACACAGCACAGGGGATGACCAAGAGACTGCGGACACAGCACAGGGGATGACCAAGAGACTGCGGACACAGCACAGGGGATGACCAAGAGACTGCGGACACAGCACAGGGGATGACCAAGAGACTGCGGACACAGCACAGGGGATGACCAAGAGACTGCGGACACAGCACAGGGGATGACCAAGAGACTGCGGACACAGCACAGGGGATGACCAAGAGACTGCGGACACAGTACAGGGGATGACCAGAGACTGCGGACACAGTACAGGGGATGACTAGAGACTGCGGACACAGTACAGGGGATGACCAGAGACAGCGAGAAGCACTGCGCTTTGTGATTGGTCCAGCGTCTTCTGGGACCTGTCATGTGTCCCAGAAGACACCGTACTATTCACAAAGCGCAGTGCTTCTGTACATAGAACAATATCGGACCTCTGAAAAGTATAAGCATGCATATGTACTCAGTACTTGGTTTGGGTCCCTTTTGCAGCAATTACTGCCTCAATGCGGCGTGGCATGGAAGCTATCAGCCTGTGGCACTGCTGAGGTGTTATGAAAGACCAGGATGCTTCAATAGCGGCCTTCAGCTCTTTTGTATTGTTTGGTCTCATGTCTCTCATCTTTTCTCTTGCATGAGCATTTTATGGTTATGTGTTTAATATAGACATTTGCGATTTCATTTCTTCATACATTTGTCAGACCATAATGCACTTATAACCACTGTGGGAGCATTTTATATGAACAAAACACACCCATTATCTATTGTGCGTTTATTTCATTCGTGTATTTCATTTGCCTATAATTTTGTGCATTTGTTTTTATTCTTATTATTGTTTTAGCGCTGCACCATCATTTTTCATTAGGTTGTATTGAAGGCATATGGATCACCTTTTTAGTGTGTTCAGCTGCTTCATGTTTTAGCGCTCGCTTTTATTCTCTACATTTTAATCTATCCAATTGTCTCCTCAGTCCGCCTTTAGGTGATCCCTAAGCAAAGCCTATTCTGCCTCTACAGAACAACTGGATTTTACCTTCTCCATCAATTCATCCATTACAGTTATTAACGTCTGTATCACTCAACCCTCCCTTTTAGATTGTAAGCTCTTATGAACAGGGCTTTGTGAACTCAATTGGAAATGTACAGTCTTCCTTTATCTTGTAAAGCACTGTGCAAACTGTTGGCCCTATATAAATCCCGTATAAGAGGTCTTCTGGCTGTACATTTTTTTTAGAAATTAGGATATTGAGGATGAAATGAAACAGCATTTGTATGTGAATGAGGCTTCAACATTTTATTTCACAGTTCACTTTTAACAGCTGTGTGTGTGCACGGCCCAGAATGCTGACAGGTCCTAGGATTCATAAAGGCCGACGCAGACAGATTTTGCAAAAGTTCTTTCTAAAAGTAGCACAGCATGCACCAACTTCAAGTACAAGTTCTAAGCAGGTACATGCATTTGGCGCACGCTGTGGAACTTTAGAAAGCACGAGAGACAATTTTTTAAAATCTGTCTGCCTCAGAATTCCAAGGACTGTCTGCATTCTGGGCCGTGCACCCCACAGCTGACAGACTAGGATCAGTGGCTGTGTTCCAACTGACTGAATAGGTCTGCCTGTACAGAGAACATGTGCGTCCCCACACGGGCACAGATGGCGCTTGCAATGATGTACGCTGTAGTATGCATATTGTCAGTTATTTCCTGCTTGTGTGATTGGCTCACTAATGTTCCCAGAAGTCTTAATTAAGATACAAGTCAGATTTTGGGCATCCCCAGCAACATAAATGTCATTTTTGGTGAGATACTCCCAAAGAGAAATCATGTCTAAAGGGATGCAGACCCTGCCACTTTCCTCATTAGAGTTCTGAAGCCGATTGATAATTATAAAGTCACTTCCTTTCACATTTTGGACACGAACAGCTATTTTTTCAGTACAACAAAAGGTAGGAATCTGCAACAAAGTCTGTAAATATCCTGCACTGTACATAGATCACCAAGAGGGGAATGTTTTTTTTCCTCAACAAAAGTGGGGCAGTTAGAACTACTGACAGTTGCCTGTGCTGGTAATGTTCCTGAAACTGGCAGAACTAGAACCTTGCTAAAACTCCTTAGCCTGGGTTCACAATTCTGCAGTGCGGACAATCGCATGGGATTTGTACAGGAACTGCACTTGTGCAAATCACATGCAAATTCTGTGCGGTCCAATCTGAGCCATACATTTTGTATGACTCAAACTGCACCGCATCTGCGCCAAAATAGTGCAGGAGTCTTTTTTTTTTCCGCACTAGAATCGGATCGCATGGGTATGCACACCCACGTGATCCAATTCTACACATTGCACCGCATTTTGCAAACTGATTTCGAGTATTGTCAACTTAAAATACGCACCCGCAGTGGTTCCCATGAATGATGTGCAATATTCACACAGAAACCACTGCAAACTCTGCACTGCATCAGTGTGAACCCAGGCTGACTGACATTTCCCCGAATGTCTGTACCCATCTCCTCTCTGCAGTGCGCAAGGGTGGACTGACCATTTGGAAATTCGGGCACTGCCCAGGGGTCAGTAGGGGGCCCCATGAGATGCCCCTGGTACCTTTTTCATAGGCTTTTTTGAGTTGGGGTAAGGACACAGGGGCCCCATAATCCCTTATTGCCCGGGGGCCCCATGAGTTGTCAGTCCGCCCCTGGCAGTGCGGCTCATCATCTGCGGCTATCTATAACGTGGTCCGAATTGTTGGCAACAGTAACTCCAGAGGGGCAGTTACTGGAACCGATCCCCTGTATGGCTCTCTGCAGCAGCTGAAAGCTGGCTTCTTCTCCTCTTCCTCCGGGTTTCAGCTGCTGCAGAGATAGCTACACAGGGAGTTGGTTCCAGCAATTGCCCCCCCCCCCATGCACCCATCACCTTCCCTGTGCACCATACGTTTCCACATGCTGCCCAGCCCCCCCCCATGTATGCCTCCCACCTGCAAGCACACAATAGGATCCTTCAGGATGGAGAGTGGAGGGTCACATTTTCCAGCCCCTTTCTTTTGTGAATGAACACAATGAGGGATCAGTACCGATCATTCACTGTGTTCATTCATAACTGAAGCCTGGGGGGGGGAACTATCAGGTTGGCTGTATGGGGCCCTGTGGTTTCTCACAGCAGCCCTGTCTCTCTCTATACACAGACATTTAGTAGACTATACACTGCATGGTCAGAAATGAGTGACATTACACAGCTGTCCAGCACTCCTCTCCTCCTATATATGTACAATGTAATACGCCGTCACATTGCATGCTCCTACCTGTAGGGTCCTATAGCAGCCGGAGCCCTGGCGCTGCAGATAATCTTCCTGACGATAGAAGCCATGACTGAGAGGAAAACTTTCACCTGTACCCTCCCCCTCCCGCTATACACAGCTGCCAGCAGCACATGGACTCTGCGCATGCGCAGGGGTTATCTCTGCTGCGCGCCGGGATTCGGGGGAGGGAAACCTCATCCACCAATCAGCTTTCTCGTCGCAGTTATAGAGAGAGGCGTGGAACGCACGGTGGCTCTCTCGCGTGTGAGGTGTATGGTGAGTTCCGGGTGAGAGGACAGGCGAGGAGCGGCGCCGCAAGGCCTTGGTATGGACGCTTCTTATGACTGGTGCTTCGTATACAGACATTGTGTACACAGCACACCGGGCCATCACCGTGTACAAATGTCATCGGTCATGGTGCTGGCTGTCTGAGGCCGGGGGAGGGGTATCGGGCCGGGCCATACAAACTACGATCTTATTCATTTCATTTACATTTATCAAAACAGTAATACGAGGACATTCCATTACGATCCGACCAATTTCTGTCCAATCACATACAGGCCTGCACGTTCTGTAGTTTTTGGACGATCTAAAGCTGGCCATACACTCTGAAATCTCCTTTGTATCTGCCATCAGCTATGCAATGCAGTAGCCTGATGTCATGGATGCAAACCCACGCACACGCCCACAGCGACTAGCTAACTGAGGTGGGCACGTCCAGCCGTGACTTGGGGTAAAGAGGGAATGAGGGGGACTTGCTTTCAGCGTACAAGACAGGCTGTGATACTTTCGCAGCCTGCACTGCCTCTGGCCACCACTAGAGGGAGACTCCAATCCAGCTGGATGACCACACACAGGCAGATACAAATTTTTTTTACAATCTGGTGCACTCTAAGGGTTGGGGAGCAGTCTAGCAATTGGCACACCGTTCTAGGAGTCCTCCAGCTATCCTACAAGCTAGAATCCTGGTGTTAATTACTCTTCCACTGTTCACACCTCCCCCCCCACACCAGACACACAACAAATGGTAGCTTGCCACCATCCAACAGTTTGTCCGCAGACTGGTCTGCTGGGTTACCACACACACACACACATATCTCTGTCTGGCAGATCTGCTACTTTACAATCTGCACGCTCTCTGCCAACATGCAGTGCAATTGCATACAGATTGGCAAAGAATGTAGACCGAGCACATAGACACTACAATACAATCTCTCCGGAGATATGAGCCCGAGCTTAATTACCCAGAAGTCACGTATTCATTTTATGATTTAATATCCCGAAAGTGGGCAGTGCATAAAATATGTACAAAGAAAAAAGATTTACAGAAAATACAAAAAGACACACAATTGGCTATTCACTATCAAATAAAAGGGAATAAAAACAGAAATAAAACTTTTACCAAGATTTTTCCTGCGACTGGAGCAAGGCAGAGAAAGTCTGCGATTCTCCAGTCATAAGGAACCGACTCTGTACGAATCACACCGTCCATATCTCAGGGTCCTCAATTCATTGAAATATGGACATGGTGGGCTGGACATTAGCCCTTGGCCAATCAACCCTGGGGGGTGTTCCTGTACCAGCCCACAGGACATTTGGGTTCTGAAGTGCCCAAAGTCTATTCTACTCAGAACAGTTTGAATCACCAAGTCAGGGATAGAATTTCCGACACCAGCGCATCAGTCCGACCGCGACAGCTGTCGCAATCACGTGCCATATAACCGTTTCTCTGGGATTCTACAGAGGCTACAAATACAGTTTTACATGTAGATGTAGCCTACAGTGTGTCCAATCAGAAAAAAGTATTTTCATCTCTCTGCAACTAATATTTTAGCTTTTATGAGAGATGAAATGGGTCAGGGGTTAAAATTTCGAATCCAGACCTACTAGCCGGTTAGAAAACTTACTCTCCACTAGTTGCCTCACCCAACCTTGCCCAGGTTTGCCCCCAGCCCCACCCTTGGCCCACAAAGTAATGTATATCCCTGCTCCCCTGTACTCCATTATAGTGATATGACATGTTGTATACAGTAATGTATATCCCCCCTCCCCTGTACTCCATTATAGTGATATGACGTGTATACAGTATGTATATCCCACCTCCCCTGTACTCCATTATAGTGATATGACGTGTATACAGTATGTATATCCCACCTCCCCTGTACTCCATTATAGTGATATGACATGTATACAGTAATGTATATCCCCCTCCCCTGTACTCCATTATAGTGATATGACATGTATACAGTATGTATATCCCCCCTCCCCTGTACTCCATTATAGTGATATGACATGTATACAGTATGTATATCCCCCCTCCCCTGTACTCCATTATAGTGATATGACATGTATACAGTATGTATATCCCAGCTCCCCTGTACTCCATTATAGTGATATGACATGTATACAGTAATGTATATCCCCCCTCCCCTGTACTCCATTATAGTGATATGACATGTATACAGTAATGTATATCCCAGCTCCCCTGTACTCCATTATAGTGATATGACGTGTATACAGTAATGTATATCCCACCTCCCCTGTACTCCATTATAGTGATATGACATGTATACAGTAATGTATATCCCAGCTCCCCTGTACTCCGTTATAGTGATATGACGTGTATACAGTAATGTATATCCCAGCTCCCCTGTACTCCATTATAGTGATATGACGTGTATACAGTAATGTATATCCCAGCTCCCCTGTACTCCATTATAGTGATATGACGTGTATACAGTAATGTATATCCCAGCTCCCCTGTACTCCATTATAGTGATATGACGTGTATACAGTATGTATATCCCAGCTCCCCTGTACTCCATTATAGTGATATGACATGTATACAGTAATGTATATCCCAGCTCCCCTGTACTCCATTATAGTGATATGACGTGTATACAGTAATGTATATCCCAGCTCCCCTGTACTCCATTATAGTGATATGACATGTTGTATACAGTATGTATATCCCAGCTCCCCTGTACTCCATTATAGTGATATGACATGTATACAGTATGTATATCCCCCCTCCCCTGTACTCCATTATAGTGATATGACATGTATACAGTAATGTATATCCCAGCTCCCCTGTACTCCATTATAGTGATGACATGTATACAGTAATGTATATCCCAGCTCCCCTGTACTCCATTATAGTGATATGACATGTATACAGTATGTATATCCCCCCTCCCCTGTACTCCATTATAGTGATATGACGTGTATACAGTAATGTATATCCCAGCTCCCCTATACTCCATTATAGTGATATGACGTATACAGTAATGTATATCCCCCCTCCCCTGTACTCCATTATAGTGATATGACATGTATACAGTAATGTATATCCCAGCTCCCCTGTACTCCATTATAGTGATATGACATGTATACAGTAATGTATATCCCCCTCCCCTGTACTCCATTATAGTGATATGACATGTTGTATACAGTACTTACTGTCCCCACTAGTCCCCCGCTGCGGTGGAGAGGGTGTCTCCTCTCAGCGGAGGAGAGCAGACCTCTCCTGCACCTGTCCCCTCAGCGGCGGTGCCGCAGAAGCTGGAAACAGGAACTCGGCTTCACAATGAGGATTGGCGCGCAGATGCAGTCGCTCCATGCTTCATCTGTGCTCGCCACAGAGGAATTTCTCCTCGCATGTGGCGAGCGGCTTTTTCAAGCCCCGAAATAGATTCCTCTGATCTGTGGGTATAAATCAGAGCTGGCAGACAATTCGGAGCCACTCCTGGTCTCCTGCTGCTTCCCAAAGCCAAAATGGCTAAAGCCCTTCTTTTATAGCCGCTAGCAGTTATTCACTGTGTTCTCCTGACTGGGGGGCATAACATAATGGCTCTGTGGGAGGGATTGCCCCATCAACACAGACTGTGCTGATAGGGAATTGAGTGATTACCGTATCTTTCCCGTAGTTGCAGGAAGGAAAATCGTTCTGTCTATGGCCGGCTTAAGCAAGCAGCAATATCATAATTTTTTCTTTTGAGTTTTAGGTGGAGCTGTCAGTGGGACACTGCTAGGAAAGATATGGGCATGCAAAAGCAAACGGGCAGATGTGTTTTAAAACGGATCTAAACTGTATGCTAGCGCCACAAACTGAAAATGCTATTTAATTTATTTTATTATTCACAGCAAACTCCCCTATCCATCCATGTCTCCATGCTTTATTTTGTTAAGCATTCAGTTTGAAAAATGCTCCCCTGCCAGCATTTCTGGACATCTTTAGTAAGGGCCGATGATTCATGTAGCATTTACTTCCTGGAATCCATCTGTCCTTGGCTCAAGCATGCAGACAGGTTAATGTGCTTGACTAAGAAAACCCTCTCCTCTCCTCCTGAAGACTTCTGGGATGTATGACATCATTTTGGCCTAGGATTGGAAACCTGGAAGTAACTGAGGAAATGTAAAAAAAGGAAAGTATATTTATTTAAGCCTAGCAGCATCAGCATTAATTGCTTCCCTGGCACCCTATAGCAGAACTACTGCTTTTAGGCTGCTCAAAATCATGTATATATACATCTGATTTTGCATATCCGTCTAGGGGGTGCGCACGGAATTCCGGCTAGGGGGTGCCCGCCTCCCTACCTGTGCTGCTATTGGCGGCTACAGCTGTTGATCACCCGACCCTGGCTGAAGATTCCCTGCTGGCACCCGGCAATCGCTGTGTAATACTGACAGGGGAGAGAGGTCTGTATGTAAACAATACAGATCTCCCCACTGTCAGCAGCAGCATACAAATATTGCTCTGCATAGCAAAGCAATACAAAGCAGCATGCTTGCATAGTAAAACACACACAGTACACTTAGTATAACAGCACATAGTTAACTCTGTGGTCGCCCCCATATGTTAACCCCTTCCTTCCCAGTGTCAGTACAGTGTCAGTGCTTTTTATTAGCACTGATCACTGTATTGGTGTCACTGGGGAAGTCAGTGACAGTCAGTTCCCCCCCCAGTGTCAGAATGCCCCCCGCAGTCCCGCTATAAGTCGCTGGTCGTCGCCATTACTAGTATACAAATAGTTCCAGTATCTATACCGCCATTTGTAGACACATAAACCAATTCATTTACACGTATTGGGATTTTTTTTTTTTATAGCAAAGACATGTCGCAGAATAAATTTTGGCCTAAATT